TAACAGCAGTGATTACCTCTTGACTTAAACCCAACTCCTTAAAACTCCCACCAACTCCTTAAAACTCCCACCACCTCCTCATTCTTTCTCTTCTTATCAGATACTTCATTTTCCATCACTAACTCTTGGGTTTCAGCTAGTGCGGGTTTACCAGAGTCCTCGAGGTGTCTAAGTCTCAATCTTTCAAGAAGCATTTCATGCTTCACTTGGTCAGCCTCAATGACCGGGGCTGGGGTTGCGGTGGTTGTGATGGTGCATAGGGAACTAAACCCTGGCAAAACCCTAGTGGGTTTGCGAAGTTTGAGAGATGGGTGTTGACGGAGGTATCTAGTTGAGGAAGAGAGAGAAAAAGAAGATTTCTTGATGTTCCTCCCATGGTAGCTTTCCACATCTTCTCCACCTTTTGTGTTAATTGAATTAAGCGGCACATTCGTAGAATTCTTTTGTTGCAGCTATGATATGAAAAAAAAAAAGAAAAAAAAAGTAATAAGTTGAGTCCGCAATTGAAGAGTTGAGGTGCCAAGCTGCATTAGTGAATAGATATTCTGAGTTGTGCATGACAGATGGCAACCACAAACTCATTACCTTATTGCCTTTAACTTTTTTCACTTTACTATTGGGCCATCTTTTCGTATAGCCAAGAATTATATAGCACTAGTATATGTATGTTGAGATTGCTCATTGTGGGTATGAGAATATTCTGATTTCCTCATCCTTGAACCCTCTGTATCTCTCATTTCTTTTTTTAAGCCCAGATCTTATTGAGGAATACATATTGAGGATCCTTCGTTCTCTTGAAGATTTTCTTTATTGTTTCTCATTTATATTTCTTTGGTATCATTTTGATATTAGAACTACGATTTTGGCACCATGGAAACGAAGGTTCATGATCAAAGCAAGTAATTAATTGAAGAGGTCGTTAAATCGGCCATGGTAGAGATGGCTAGGCATCATGAAAGTCAACTAAAGGCAATGGAAAAGAGGTACGAAAATATGGTTTCAAATATTAGCACGTGGGTGTCTGGGCTGAATTTGTAGCAAACTCAGATTATGGCTGAATTGGACTCTCTGAGTTTTCCTCGTGGTGGCCAAACCTTCCAAACCATAGGTAATGGTCCCTTAACCTCTAAATTTGCAAAACTTGAGTTTCCTAAGTTTAATGGTGAAGAGCTAGAGGACTAGTTATACAAATGTGGGTAGTACTTCAAGATTAATGGAACCCCTACAGAACATAAAGCATATTTAGCATTCATTAATCTTGAAGGAAAACCAATGAAACGGTGTTGATCTATTTTAGAAATTAAAGGGGAATAGGTGATGTCTAATTGGGATGAGTATGTAGAAGGGTTGAATGCTAGATTTGGAAAGAAGTCTTATGAAGATCCTATGTTTGATCTCATTAGCTTGAAGCAAACAAGCACAGTAAAAGAGTTTCAGGAACAATTTGATACTTTATTTCCTAAAACTGGCATTAATGAGAAGTAAGCTGTGACTTTTTTCCTCAATGGATTAAAAAGGGAGATTGAGATAGCAGTTCATATGTTTAAGCCTTGAACTTTGTATGATGCCTATGCTCTAGCCAGATTACAAGAGTCATCTATACAAAAATCCTAGAAATTGGTGTCTAGAACTCTAGCTAGGAGCACCACACCTTTATTGCCCTTACCCAGCACTCCACCTCGCTTTACCACTCCTAAATCCAGTCCCTACTCACATACAAAAAACCAAACCAGCTCTGGATCACCCAAATACTATACCCCCCAACACAAAAAACCCAAACCAAAAACTCACCAGCGGATCTTGGCTTAGCAACATTCTGAAATATTTTTTATTGCATTTTCTGACTCATTTTCACTTCTGATTTTAGTTGATTCAACCCAGTAAGTACTTTCTTGTATATGCTCATCCAATGTAGAAAAAGCGCCATGCTGAATTATACTTGTCATCTTCTTCATATTCCAAGTGAAAACATTCTGAGGAGTCAATTTGTGAAGGAGATCAATACTTATCTCCTGATCTTCTTTATCTCCATTCTTAGAAGGCAAGCCGGGGAGTCTCTGGCTTTTATTTTGTGGATTTGACAGTGTCGCAATTAGATACTGATTGAACAAAGAATCTAGGGCTTTGTCAAAGTATGCAGTCATATGAAAAGGAGAAGGATCCTCCTCTTCCTCCATATATCCAGGTTTCTTAATTTGTCTAGATCTTAGCTCATCAACCTAGAGTTACTCCTATTCTGGAGCAAGTAACTCATCGTCCTCCTCTTGTACGAGGTGCATCTTAGAACCTCATCATTTACCGGTGACTCCCAATGCTGTCCCCTCCACACACCTTCCTCCTAACTGTTTCCTTGCGATTGATCACCATCTATGGGTTCAAATCCATAATCATAGAAATCTCATCGGAGAACTCCATGGCTTGCTTACTGCAGTTCGAAAACAAGAAATGTCAGTTATATATGCAGAGCATGTGGAGTTTTAGAAC